TTTTAGTCTGTGCTCTAAGAAAAGCCCGACTCTCAGGAATGAGCTTGCAGCTGCAGCTTAAAGGTAGTTCAGAAATGGTGAACCAGCAGCTCAGCGCTAATTTTGCAATCAAGGGGCAGCTAGAATTAATGTCCATTACATGCTAGCTGGCTTAGTCGATTTTTTCTGTGTCACCACCCACCTTCAAGCTCTTCCATATGCTGCCTTCAAGCCACATCATTGTTTCATGGGTGGCTACGTTGTGAAAGACAAGAAAACTTTTCCGTGATTTTTATACAGTCTTAAGCAACTGCAGGACATACCCTACAGAGGTTAAATTGCTGCAGAAAGTACTGAAGACTTTTAAACACTATTTTTTTATAGTCATGGCAGCAGAGGCGAACACCTTTGCCATCTGATGAAGCCAGAGAAATGAAGTTGGATCTTAGCTGCCGCTCCTTAATCGGACTAATTAATTATAAATACGGCAGATGAATTGGAGTCTCCTTTGACTTGAACTGGTTTTACACATGTGTAACTCATCATTTTAAGGGCAATCACTCCTAATTTATGCCGGGGTGAGAAGAGAATCGGTCCTCATAGACATGGATCGGGCTATGGATTCGTGCACAGGCCTGAAGAGCATCCATCATATCTAACTTTAGCCAACTGAACACCTGCCGGGCCAGCCCCGCTCTCAGCTGAGAGCGGTCCTCGTACCCATCTCAAGAGGGGAGCCATCCTCCTTCTGCGCTGACTATAGAGGCAGCTTAAATCACTCTCAGTGACGGGAACCTTAACTTTTAGGGGGCTGACGCCGGAGGGATGAAGCTGCTTGTTTGTTTGGCATTTGCTAGGTGCCATTACATCTTGTGTAACCGCAGCGTTGTGGAGTTTCGTAATCCTTCCCCTGCGCCTCGGATTATTTCCTTATCTCCTCAAAAATCTGACCAGAATGAGAAAAATCCAGCCATCCAGTCGAGAAGAAGCAGAGACAGAGAGAGAGGGAGAGAGGGGGAGAATAACCTCAACAGATTGGAGAACGTCTTCAAAAACGCCTCAAAGACAAAAAATGGAAACTACAGATAGCCTCTATTTATATTCCCTGGGCTGTTTTCACCCCCGTACCAGGACCGCTGATAGGAAGAGGCTTTCA